ATACTAATTTAAAACTCAAACCTGTTAAGACTCTTGGAGAAATGGTCGTAAAAATAAGCTTGAAGATAAAGGGACAATCTGATTGTGCGCGAATTACTTAATAAAGCACATTTGGTATCCCACATYGAATGCAYATGAAGTAATRTACTAAAATATGTTGCCTATTTTACTGGAATGGGTTGAAATCCTGCATTGGTCAATGATAAGATATCAAACCTAAGACCTCTGAGGTAATCCTCATTAGCATTATTTCTATAAAGAATACTAATAAGGCAGCGTAGTCCCTAGGCGTTCCTCGTTTCTGTCATTGTAATGGCGTTACAGAGTGACTCTCTCTCTCTTAAGCGCTTGTCCCAGGACTCCCAAACCCAGAGTAAAACACCTGTGGACTAAGTTGCTAACAAGGATGTTTATCAGATATAAAGGTTCACGCATTGATTATGTGTGAGTCAGTTTGAAAGTCCTCTAGACAACTGGCTTGAAGTGGGCGGTGTTTGGTGGGGGAACAAGGGGGAACATTTAGAGTTTTATAGAAACCTAGGGGTCTCAAAGATTTTGCTGAATTAGTAGATGCATTATGTGTACCCCCCCTAAAAAAAGCAATTCTTATTATGCTTCTGCCCTTTACATTCCAGCAAACATATGAATTGAACTGGTAATGACACAAGTCTAGACAGGCCCTTTGTATCATAGATCAGGTCTGAGCTTTAGTAAAGTACTAGCTGATCTATCAATTTAATAATTAAGTCATTACATTGAAATATGTGTGATATCTTGACCCAGTGCTTGTGGCACTACATAATATTGGAGACCAGAAAAATGTTAGTTTTACCAATTAACCATTTCATTATTCAATATTCATTATTCCATTCATTCAACGCAATGGTACAATAATTAGTTGACTGAAAACTTGATTACTATTGATTGTGTATTTTATAGTTTTATATTAACTTTTTATTATCTATTACAAATTGTATCAACGTAATTCAGCCTTTGGCTACAATGTGTATTTTTATAATAAAAGATCTATCTATCTATCTTTATTGAGTTTCTKATATGATTTCTTGGAAGGTAACACGCTTTTAAATGCTATGAATTTGGATGGTWGGGAGAACTTTCGAAATGGTTTTGGAGCACTCAATTTTAGCTCCTAAAACTAAAACCTGATTTAAAACCTTTCTTGTGTTCTCCCAACAATCCTAAAAATAAATTTACTTGCTCCCTAGATCAAGTATATCCTTCAAATTTGGCCAGTTAACTCCTTTTTTTAGTATGTAACGTTTGCAATTGATAATTCTTTTGAATTCAGTGAAAATTATTTGAAATCGATTTCTCAGTCTATCCGTCTTATTTTGCGACACTTGGCTACTCGTTCAAGATGGCTGCCAAAACCATCACCTCAACTATTAGTTCCTGTCATCAGCTAATTTCTTGCACTGGAACTAATTGGAAGGACTCTACATCCCATTCAATCCAAATTGAAGGACATCTATTTTATTACTTCCCAACACTTTCATATCAASGAAAGGACTTTTTTACATACAAAACACATGTAACGTTCTTAGAAACACAAAGTGACAAAACTATGACACAAATTTAGATTAAAAGAAAATAATGTGTTTGCTTGACAAAGATTGGAGTTATCGAATAAAAATGTTGTGGTTTGGAAGMCTGCTCTGTCATTTAGCCAATGTAATCAGGAGTTGAAAAATAGATAAAACTGTTGTTTGCCATATAGTTRTATGCCTTTCCATATGGTATGGGTTTTTCGTCAGGGGTAGGGATAGGGCATGAGATTTGGTCACTTTAGTCTCAAAGTATGCAACAATTCATTGCTGATACAAAAGCAAAATTTCATTTCAATTTAAAAGTAAATAAATGCTGATTGTAGCTTGCTGGATAAGAAATACATGKTTTGATTTAGTCTGTGATAGGGTTCTGACCTAGGGTACAAAAACTGAACCTTACCAGGGCATATAGAGAAGAGAAGAGACTTCATTGTAAGATAGACAAAATTGTTTATTACTACACTAATTCAGGACTCCCATTCAGTGGAAGGTATTTCCACCAGAATATGAAGAACTACAGAACTACACTCAAACAATGTGAAGTTTTGTGTGAAAGGGAGGGGAGGGGGATTAACATGACAATGTTAACTGACCCCTGTAAATACTAACAAATGACAGGTTCCTATAAGGTTGGAATGCTGTCGTTATAGGGAAACCAGCACGTGATATTTAAGCTAAATGAAACCAGATGTGAAATACTAATGTTCAGTGTTTAGTGTCTTCAGGACTCAAGACATTGCAYCTAGTAAACGACAATCAAAATGATTTTGCATAGTCCTGTATCATATTTTGAGGTTTTTTATGAAAGATAATTGAAAACAAATCATTATATAATGACTTGAAGAAAGACATTGCGCTACTGGGGAGCACACGTTGTATAATCATTACAGTGGGTAATCATTATGAAATGGGTTATAGATAAGTATGCTTATTGCCAGCATGAATATAGAGGTAAACAAGGCTTAATCACTGAAAGAAAAACTCCTGAAGAAAGGATATCTTTAAACCAAAACATTATATAAGCACATCTTAAAATAGAACAACAGGAAATCCAAGAATAGTGTGGACAGATGGGAAAAGTTCTCACATACCATAATTTGAGAAAAGATTATTATAGACTACAATGATGTGAAACTCTTAACCAATGTTTAGCAATGACCAGTGCATAAAATACAAGAACCTTTATGCAAATGACTAATGAAGTGGTGAAATAGGTCCAACATYATTTGCTGTATCTCTTTAGCAGATCGATGAGTTACTATTGACATTGAGAACATTGAATATTTTTGACATCAAACTGTGAAATACCTACACTAATTCACGCAATGCTCAAAGTAAATAGACTAGATTTCCGTAAGCAAACCACAAATCCCTCACCAGATGAACTATCTAAATACAATGATCCGATCTACAGGTAGTGTTTGAAGGAATTTGTTGACACAAAACTCGAGAATCACTTCGAGAACACTTCGAGTACGTTCGAAATTCGACAATTAACACAATTTACTACTGTTCTTTTGTGAATAAAACTTTTTCTAAATTTCAATGTTTTTTTTAGGGCTCAGCAATAAATAAACTTACACAAAAAAGGAAAATTGCTCATGAAATCTGCATGTTTAGATTACGTTATTAGCCTAAATCGGCGTAGAAAGAGAATCATTAATTTGTGTTGACTTAATTTTCTTATAATACAACCAAAACAATGAGAAATATCCGAAGAATTCTTGACTTAAATGTAGCTCTTTTAAAAGTTATTAAAACTAACAGAACTAAAAGCCACTGACAAAGAACCTCTTGATAAATCTTGTCTGAAGTCAATATAATATGACGTACTGTACACCTCGGAACGCATAATGTAATGTGCATCGGTAATGACTTCATGAAAACCGATATCCCGTGGATGTATCTTGATCGTGTATATGCATGAATATTCAAAAAATAAATACATAGCTTAAGCAATCGTATCGGAAAGACGAGGGAAAATCGGTAATTAAATCTTGCCGATTACGAGGAATGAAATTAACATAATGCGTTAGCGTGTGGGTTACCTATGACTACAATTCTTACCTTTGGCCATCGCGGTTGAAGTTCCGCTGCTTTCTCGCCATCTTTTAGAGCTTGTTCAAAATTTAAAATCCGAATACAAGCAGCAGATCGATTCCCGTATAATACATGATTATTCGGATTTATATCGATAGCTTGAGTGTAGAGATCAACGGCTTGTTGAAAGTCGCCACGGGCGCAAGCTTCCCCAGCGAGTTTGACTTTTTCTTGCAGAACGGGACGAGCATTCGGCTGTAATAAATCAACCTAAATATAAAATATAGGGTATGATAAATGAAGAGAAACATATTATACTACTATAAACGTCCTTCCTTCGAAATTGCACAGCAATATATCTTGGATGGTCAAGTGAGCAACGTAATATTTAAACTGGTTTCTTCTCAACAAGTCGTCATGAATTTTGTTTACAAAACACAATGAACTAACATTTTAGAATCAAACATAGCAGCTGATCGAAAATTCATCATGTTTAACACAATCTTTGTTGAATAAAGTGTGCTAAGCAGTTGAATTTGTCGTAAAAATAGCTGGCAAATTCAACAAAAACCAAGCAACAATTGTTCACAATAAAGACGCCAAGAATGCAAGAGCGTACAATAAACTAACCGTGGTTTGTCTTGTTTTTGGCGCCGCAGCCATTTAGCCTGCTCTAGGGCAAGCATCAACTATCCAACGTCTGTTTACCGTTATTTTCCATTGCATTGGAGGTGAAAACAGTGTATTTTCAAAACAGTCCATTATGACGGTCTAAACGACTGACTTCGYACAATGTCATCCATGTTTGATCAAATAGCTCAGCCTCCTTGTGACGTCACACATAACTGACACTACTTTTCCTGGCCCGAACGAGGCCCGAACAGCTTCTTCGTTTGAAAATTTTGTCTATATAATACAAGAATGAGCCATTTTTCTTTGTTCCTTGTTGGAATTTATCTCTCATATTGCCCTGTTTATTATGTATTCAAGTGCTTTATACAGAGATTTCCCTCAAGTTCGCTTTATACAGAGACGCTCGCCCCACAATTTCGGTCATCGAAATTTGTCACACGCCTTTATTGCTTCAGTCGAGGGTGGTCGTTTACGGGAGAGGAAAAACTGAAAAATAAATTTTGTAAAATATAGTGAACTGAACGTATTATTTAAACGAAACTAGTTTTCACTATTCTTGGTAGTCCCTGGCCAATACGTGCGAAAATTATGTTATGAAATGATTTACATTTTGTTTATGAAAAACTGAAAAATTCTACAATTTCAATTCCAAAGGTGCTCGCGGTCGTCTACAAGAGTGGTCGCCTACGAGAGAGTTTTTTTTTACAGAGTTTATATGGGAAACAAAACGGGAAATTTAATAATGTGGTCGTTTACAGGAGATGGTCGCTTACGAGAGTGGTCGTTCAAAGAGAGCTAACTGTACTACGTAAGTGGGGAATCACCTGATTATCAAAACATTTGCTCCACGAGTCATACGTACAGTAAACGTAAAATGGATGACGACGAAGGACATCTATCTATTGCTGAGCAAGAAACGGGTTTTTATGAGACCGACGAAAAGGATTACCCAAAGGCTGTATGCCTACCACCCAAGAAACATTATGGCCATTTACTGAGACAGACAAGTCTGAGAAATACTGGTGAAAACAGCCTAGAATTGAGAAGTGGACATGAAATAGAAGCAGATTGCGAGTGGATTGCTGTGAAGACTGAAAAACCGTCAAAAGTCTCTGAAGAGAACGATGATTGTCCACATAAATCTACAGAGGATGAAAACGTTARATATAGACAATATCCGGAGAAAAACTCAACCAGCAAACGTACAATTCAGCCTGTCATTCCAGAACGTCAAAAAGATGCTGAAGATGGTACATCTGATTTGCTTGAGAATAAAAGCAAGTTACATCCAGAAGAGAATTCAAATGAAGTGCAAGAAAAGCATGACTTTGATGAAAGCTATGCTGATTGTACTCCTGACAGTCTTGATCAACTACCTTCAAAACGGCTAGATGAAGTGAAGCCTCAAATTTACGAGCTAGAAAACACACAGACAGATGAAGACAAACTGAAGGAATTCATTGACAATTCCACAAAAGAAGAAGTATCACATGATAATGTTGATTCAGGAGATATTATTGAAATGGATGGTATGTTAAGAACCTTATATAATCATTGGATTGTGGTAGAATACAAGGATGGGGATTTTATAAAGGCCTATGAATACACATTAAGGCGATTTAGCTGGCTTTTGCTGGTTATTTTTACAGTTTTTACACTGGTATTCCTTGACCCTATAGCAATGCTGGTTGAAAAAGAGGAATCAAACTATACAATTGACCAGTTGAAAAGAAGAAATGCAAGGAAAGTCAGATTTTCAGATAGTAACAAACAATACGTGGACTGGCTGGTGAAAAATATAGAAAGAAGAAAAAATGAGCCAATCTCCTTATACAGTCCACAATGGAATAATTGCGAACACCAGTCGCTTTTCAGAGTATGTGGAATTTCAAAAAGTTTTCAGTTGGACCAGTCTAAAATCCAACTGATTGTATTCATATTAGACTTGTTTTACTACATAGTAGCTGGTATACATCTTATTTCAACAATTAAATTAGCAAGTTACTATGGTATATCATGGATGCACACATGTTGGTTACATGAACTATACCTAGCCTGCTACCAAACCTACAAACCTTACGAACTGAAGAAACGAGGTTATATAACAAAGGCAGAGTCAGATCAAGAGATATCTCTAATTTGGACAAGGGCATTGGTAATTCCTGCCTTTGCTTCACTTGCTGGTTTGTTTGTGAATGTTCATGCTCTCCCCAGGATTCTTACTTTGTCTATCATTACAAAAAGCTTATTGAGATTTTGTTTCAAGTTTTTTGCTATTGACTTAACATTGTCTTGGTCAAGTGTTGTAGTGTGTTATGTTGCTTGGTGGATTCTTCATGGAATGCTTTCAGCTATACTTTGGTATATTATTGTATCATTATTGACATGGATCATCAAATGTACTGTGGTTTGCTTGACATTAGCAATGCTTCTTCGGAATTTTTAATATAATATTAATTTACAATATTTGATTGACATTAGAAATACTGTATATAAGTATATACTGGTAAATAATAGCAAATTGTTAAAAAAATTGTATGCTTTGCTTAGCAAAACAATGTCTACATGTAAATAATTATAATGGTTAAAAATTTCATGTGCTTTTGTCTAACAAAACACTCTGTGTGTAAATAATAGTACATTGTTAAAAATCTCGTGAATCCTTTTTCAAAACAAAACACACTCTTTGTGTAAATAATGTAATATAAGAAACAAGTTTTGATGTCAATAGAGTACAAACATTAAATGTGTGCAACACTTTCCACTATTTACTACAAAATATTGTTAATTAAACAATAGAAAACAATAGAATTAGCATTATTTAGCAGTATTTAGTGGTATTTATGTTGCACAGTTTTAGTGTTTGTACTCYTTTTATCAGATTAGATTTAAAATAAGGGTATTTTGTCTAAGTTTAATATATTTCTTTTCACAAAATTAAATATCCTATTTCTTTATGACAACAGTTTTTGGGTGTACTGGTGTCATGTACAAGATGATCTAGTAAATGTGAAATCATCGGGTTGTTAGTAGTAGGGGGATTTTAGATTCTTCTTATTTGTAAAGTCATTAATGGGAGACAATTAGCAAACTCACTTTKTAGAACTGGCCTTATACAGGCAAATATTTGGTTGGTGTTTATGACATATGAAAAACCTCATTTGTCTTACTYCAGGTATGAATGAAAGGGGATTGCCTGGGACCCGTGGTAGTTAAGAGTGCATGATTTCAGGAGTGGATCCAATGGGTGGGTGCAGGGAGTTCATAGTCCCTATGAGACCTTATATACCTCASTACTTTCCCTTGTTCTGTACCTTCTTTGTKATCTTTTTATGGAGTGCACTCCTTTCCCTGCAGACCTCCCTGAAGAAAATCCTGGATCCAATCCATGTTTAGACTGCACATTTAGAGTGTATTGATGTACAGTACATGGCTTTAAGTGTATGGTTTAGAGAGAATAGTTTATAGAGCATGTGCAAATATCATTCAATCTGTAGATATTTTTATTCAAAATCAATCATGACTTCATTATACTGCAAACTGTGTTAGGAAATTTCCTTGCTGGCAATGTAACTCATAATATTGAAGGGAGAATGGCACTCAGCCAAACATAAAATATGTTTAATGGCTACGGAAGCATTTTTCTTGAAATTTTACTGGAAACTTCTTAACGAAGTTTCAATAGTTTTGTATTAGACTGTATAAAGCAATGATGAGAAACTAACTGTTGTGAAAGAAATCACATTTCACAAACTGCATAAACAAATACAGTTTTTTTTCCTTCTATTGAGAAATTATTTTATACATATAGAAAATAAGACTTCTACAATTAATATTATAATTGAAATTGTACAAATATCATGATCTAAAACCCAGGGTTGTTATAATAGGCAATAAACAGTGACATCATTTTCTTCTGCATTTTTTATGTCTATCTGAATAATCTAAAASAACAATCCATTTTTGTGCTTTCATTGCAAAAGCAGTACTACCATTTTGGTAGAGCATATTTTAGCATATTTTTGGGATTATTAATTCAGACATAAAATAATATGAGGACTGTATATCCCATGGTCCTTTGCTATAGACAATGATGTGGACTAGTATTGCCGATTGACTGTAATTACTAAAGTCTAAATTTCCCTTGGAAAATATTTTTACATTTCATTATGTACAGWTTGGCTACCCAACCAAGATCTTACCACAAATCAGATCACAGTAATTAGAACTCTAAACAGAAATCAGAAAAGATTAGCACACAGTTATTCAATTATTTGTTATGGATATAATTATCATTATTATTAACAATCATCTGCTGTATTAGTTATTGGTGTTTCAAAATGACTGAGTTGTTACTGTAACAATAGTTATAACCTTACGTCATCCCTGGCTGATCTACTTAATGAGGGTTTATCAATATTGCAAAGAGAAACACGCCCTACATATTAGTAATTATTAATGATATGAAATTGCAGTCAAGTACCATTTAGAAACATCTGCCTTATGAGTGTACATGTATATTTGCGGCTGCTTAGTTATCAAGTGTTTCTCATAGAATTTATTAGGACACACAAATCAGTACTGACAACACTGATTAAGGCAGATTTATTACACATACTTGTGTCCTTACTTCTATCCTGTGAACAGACTGTATTTCTTTACCTTAAAATTTGTGAATTTTCATTGAGGTAAGGAAATGCACTCTGTTCGCAGGGTATATTACTTCCACAGGCCTTGTCTGAAATATGTAGAATGCAATGCATTGGGGTCTAGCTTCAGCATGCACAAAAAACATCTTTGTGCTGAATCTAGACTACAGTGCAACACCAAATGCTATTTCACAAAAGGGATTTGTTACACCATGACAATCAATAATATTAACCACATTGCTACTAACAAGTTAGTGCACTAAAATCATGTTATCAGCAATTGGAAAGATCTTTTCTTCAAACCTTTTACTTGAAATTTTTAAATCTTGTAAGAAATACAAATACAATTTTGTGAAAACAGAATCATCAATATTCCTACTTGATTGTAATTTTAAAATATGGTCATTACTATAAATCCTTGAATGCGTATTTACTCCTTATACACATTCTGGATTGAAAGGACAATCATTCTTCCAGCAGAAAACCCTGAATATATTCTGGACATTCTGTATGAGTTAATTATTCCAATTTCAGAATGTTGATCAAAATTTAAGCACTAGGGTTTGCACATGTCTAGTGGAAATGTAGACTGAAATAGTATTAACTGTCATGATATATAATGACTGTTAAACAAAAGTATATGTTCAAATGAATAGAGAAGTACAAAAACACTTTGATTGAGTGTTCATCCATTGTARGCGTAATCAGCTTTGTTATGCATGATTAACTTGTTATCCACAAAGTAAAAGCTATCTGATTTGGTTTCAAATGGGTGGTCGATCATTTCTTGAACTGTAAAATAAAGCAATAACATTAGGAATTGTAAGTTAATCACCTGAGAACTGACATTTCATTAAACTATAGAGCTATATTAGGGGATGTCTGTGTCTTGAGGACGTATTTGTCAAGGTTAAAGTAACACAGGTAAGGAGGAAAGATTCTTCATTTCCCTCAGTTCTAGCATTGTAGACATTGTTTAGGAGCTCATGGTTTTAATTCAGTCAGTACTCCAGTTTCAAATTCATAGTGAAAAAAAAATGCTGCTTTATTTGAAAACAGATTCCCTTGTGCAAAGACCTGACCAAACACAAAAGAGAGCATGAGAAAATGTCGTTATTACAATACAATCCTTGAAAATTTGCATTTTCCCCAAGTTGAGGCTAACACTGTATTCCCATAAGACCTAAGGTATGGGCCTTCTGGGAATACAGGGTAAGTTCTTTGCGTAAGAGAATCTGCTGTTAAATAAAACAGYGGTTATTCTCTTTGAATTCGAACATGGAGTATTTTGTAATTTAAAGGAAATTTTTGCTAGAGAAAAAGCACTAATCTGACAAATTAGGAAAACCTAAGCCCCCTAAATTATGCAGTTTTGCTTTAGAGGGTAAAAATATTTTAAGCTGGATAATTGGTTGTATCCCCTTATGTCTCCTGTTTTGTTTTTGGGCTTCCTGTTTTAAAACCATGAAAGTATAGATGATTTCTGGGATAACCATGCAGGGCTATTCCATTATTCCCATCCCCCTATTGCATGAGAAAGGAAAATTCCTTTGAGTACACTATGACAAAGGTAAAAATAACCTTAGGAATAAGTACCCCACTGTATCCCAAAATCCTTAGGGACCAGGCTAACAATATASAATTCCTCATGGGTAGGGATAAAAATAACTAAGAGTACTGAAAGACAAAAGTCTTAAGAGGTCTTCACAGCATTTTTTTTTTACAAATCCACTGGAGTAACTAGGCCATTTCTCATTACCTCTACGGGGAGGGGGATATTAAATGGATTAGGCAAAAATTGATTTTAAGTGGTACAAATATTTTCTTATGAAAAAAGGTCTACATCTAAAGGCCGTGTCACACTGGCGTTTTTTTCGTGCAACTTGTGTCGCGCAAAAAAATGTTGAAGTTGCACGATGCCATGTCACACTAGCAAAATTCCGTTGCAACTTAGCTCGCACAAAAAAATGTTCAAGTTGCACGCGTAAATTGAAAATGTACGATCACCTCACTTTCTGTCTGGTTTTCTTCTTCAAAATTATCGCTTTCGCCAAAGATGGCGTCGGGCATCTTTGTTGATTATTACAACATGTGACAGCAGGACAGATTCTCGCTTTCTTATGGGTTTGTGCACCTAATTGAAAATTTTGGAAGTTGCAAGAGACCATGTCACACACGCGTTTTTCCGAAAAATGTTGAAAAAAGTAGAAGCCAGTTCTACTTTTCTCTCAACAAAAAAATGAAATGTTCAAGTTGCATGAGGGGGTGTCACACGTAAAAAAACGCTCGTGCAACTTCAACATTTTTTTGCGCGACACAAGTTGCACGAAAAAAACGCCAGTGTGACACGGCCTTAATACAGGCACAACAATGTGCCTGTATTAAGGTGGTACACTTCTACACATAATTAACCAGAATTATTACGTCTATGTATAGAAAGTCTAGTGATTTTCTTTTGGCTTACTAATTATTAGAACTATAAAACACTGATTTTCAATAATAATCCATGATTTGGGAAATTATATGCTATGCAGTATTAATAGCTATAAGCTAAAGGCCTTTCTATTCAGGAAGCAATTAAGACAATTTCATAACACAAAACATGTCTTAAGAGAACCTTAGGGATGATTGATTCATGATTGCTTTAAAGAGTATTTCATAATAATGCAAGGACATCTAAGTGACTTAGTTTGAAGTCAGCATGTGTAAGAAATGAGGGGRRATRACCAAAAAGGGAAAAATTACACTTTCAAGTTTATGACCAACAGCTTACCTTGGTCTGGTGTAAGAGCTGGCAGTTCGTAAATATGCTCACATGTATTCTTACTATTAGGAATGCAGAATCCAAAATCGAAGTCAAAGCTTTTCAATAAGCGGTCGAGAAAATAATGTCGTTCTACCATACGAAAACTCTGAATGGGTTGATCACCCACTGTAAATTCAACCCTACAACATAACATWATTTCAGTTAGACGGACGTGTGGATTGGCTGATCACTTTTGGAGGACAACACAATATAATCACCAAAATCTGTCATCGCGTCATACACAACTTTCAWCAGCACAAAAAAGGGACTTACGTAGCTCCTACAGTTTTTAACCGCAGAAAATCTGAGGTAAACTTGTATCTTACGAATCGGCCAGCATTGGGATCTTCCTCGTTCTCTATAACTTCATCTCCATCAAAACCGTCCGGCTTKGCGATCTCGAACAGAACATCTCCTGTTTCCATATCTCTTATTTTAAACCTTGTGAAGTCTATGCTATAAACATTAGCATGAGGCTCACACAAATAGTCTATAAAAAAAAAAACAAAGAAAATAAAGTCAAAGATACCCTTCTTCTCGTGTTGTTTGCGTTTGCAACTACCAGCAGTTCTATTGAGTCGATCTGAACAAAAACAAAAGTTTATCCAGATAAAATTGTGGAACTACACTTACTTTCTGTAGACTTTGCTAGTTTTAATACATCTTCGGGCGTTATAGAACTCTTCTTAAGTAATTCTTCCTCAGTCACAGTCTTTTTAGCTTTTGCTTGACGAGCAAGAAATCCGCCACCTTTCTTTTTGGTAGATGACCGACCACCATCATCGCCCGAACTTGCTGACGACTTCTTGCTCATATTTAAACAAAATACTATTAATCCTCCTTTGAAAAGACTCAGAGTCTTAAATACTGCTTTCAAATTCTAAATGTTGTTTTATAAATGACAAAATCTCAGGATTACAACAGTCTTTCTATTCTCTTTACACGCTAACAACATGGACGCTTGATCGACCGCGAATACAAGTCATCCAGGTCAGCGGCTAAAGACGTATACTTCCGTTCCTATGGTTACTTCAAAGCGAATGGAAKTAAAATAGATAAAATAGATGAAGTTTGACAAATAAAAAAACCTTACTTTCTCGCATAATTCAATCTCAATACATTAGACCATATCACTACAATAATCTCCACTTTGAAAATATCAAGGATTTTGGCATGAAATTTTCGAGTGTGCAAATCAATGAAATTGAGCATCATCAAATTTAAAGTGTGTTTACATATAAATGAAGATGCCAAAAATTGTCATATAGTCACAGCTTTGGTCATGCTCAGTGGACCCTTCATATACTATATTTGTGAATACATTATTGTGAATACATTATAAACCAACACAATGAAACTAAAGAGGAACTTCTTGGATTATATCAAGTAGTCTAAACAACAAAGGTGCAGAGCATTATAGCAAAAGACCAAACATCTATGCTAAAAAAATACAAGTTGATCAGTATTCAATCAAAAATGCCTATTTTCAACTCTTAATTATTGCAAACATCTGTGTTTGATGAGGATGGGACAAGGAACAGATAAATAATAATAACCAACAAGAAACAGCTGCAACTTCTTTAATTAAAATGATCAAAACCATAATTCAAAAATAATTCTTGAATTCAAGATCCAAGTTTAGTTTATTACAGGACTGACAATTTATTATGCAACTATCCAAGATTTGCACAACAATGTTTTTGTCTTACTAGTACCTAGTTTACATAATTTATACTATACATGTCATGAGTATTTTGCATAAAATAGAATGTATTAGCACCTGCTCTAACAGTTTATATCCTAATAAAGCTGCAGCCCTGCAAGACACTGACTGTTAGCTGTTTTATAAAGCATTAGCTACAGTTTTGACACTGGCAACAAGCCTGCAGGCCTGTATAGGAAAGTACTAGCTAGAGCCCTGTAAGGGACAGTCTTGTTATAATATGTAAGGTACCTAGTTCTGTAACTAGAAATTAGCTGCCAGGACTATACTGCTACAAACAATTAAAGAAATTCTTGATAAAAACACAGTATTATATATAGAATACAAGTTGTTTAGTCCTATTATAGAGAAAAGAATTTGAGGTGTCGATCCATGCTTGAGGAGATGAGAGACCCAGCATGTTGACCAAACTTCACTCCTGTCACAAGTCCTGTGTGATCTGCAGAATAACAAACAAAAATTAATATATTCTTACTTTGACTCTCATATAGCACTGAATAAAAATTGTTAATTTTTAATTTAACTAAAATGTTTTACCATTAAAGCTGTTCAAAAGTTCCCACTGTTTAACCACATAAATTCTAAAAATGATAAAGGAACTTGTTAGATAACAGTATAGAGCAATGGCTATTAGTTCATAGTATTTGCCAGTAAAGAACAAAAATACACCAATAGATCCAAYACCAGTAGTGTGATACTAATCTTTCACAGTTAAATGAAAACAACTTAATAAATCAGAGATTATACAATCTAATGTACCAATAGCAGATCYCATCAACACACAGAGAATGCTAAAATGTAAAAGAATTTTGCATATTAAAGTATAAACAAACTTACTGAATTTCTGATCCTCCTACAGCCAGGTATGTACCACTCTGATCAAAACTGAGAGATTTGACCTAGAATACAAGATGTCAAAATGGTTCAATTGGAAGTTCCAGTAAATATTCGTACCATACAACGAGACTATAGAAATTAATGGCATCTCTCGGCTGTCTTGGTCGCAGATGACACCATGCATATTTCATTTCCTTTTTTTCTTACGAGTCTAATTTGTTTTAGCATTACTTGGAAGTTAACTAGACAAGGTAAAAGATAAGTARTATTCCAACAGCAATCATTTTTGCATGATTTTTTAGCACTTCCAAGAAGCTAGACGACGCATTGTTTTTCAATTGCCTTCTCTAAAACAGTGCTTATTTTGGGGAGAGTATATATTCTCATTCATTTCCTAGGGGGAAATTGATGCCATGCCATCTATCGTATGATATGGATATTTTCTGGAACCACCCAATACAATAAAAAAAGTATATTGATGGCAAACAATAATTACCAAAAGAACTGCAAGACGGATTTCAACAAAAACAAACAAATATCACATAGTTGACATTATCAAGGATGGGAGGAGTTTTTTCATTGTACTGCCTGGATTTGTGATCTTTGAACCAACTCATAGGTGGTTCAGTGCAATAGCATGAATGTTTTTAATCCAGATTTGACAACCCTGTCAATTTGAACAAAACTACTCCTTCCATCACTAATAAATACAAAAWTTCCAACAATTTTATCCCTAAACAAAACAAACAAAAAAGAAATCAAAGGAAAAATGAGAGAACGGACAATACCTCAAAAGTATCATGCAATGTGATAGTCTTAAAGTTTTTCAGCTTCCTCAAATCCCAAAGTTTAACAACAGCATCRTCAGCTGAWGTAGCTAAATAGTAACTGTAAAAGACAATTATCTTTTGTTAGTAATTGACCATGTTGTCAGCATATTTGTTTTCTTACCCATTTTCTGAGAAGGTGATATCAGTTATAGGTCCAGAGTGGCCAGGGAATTTAGCAACATTGGCTCTTTCTTTCAAATCCCAAATTTTAATTAAGCTGGGAACAAAATATYGCTTGTTAGTCKAAAACAAGTCAGCAAATTCAGCCATGTAACAGTGCATAGAATATTTGATAAAAAATTAAGAATTCGTAGAAAAACATTATCTCATTATGTGAAATTTTAATCAAAAAAAATTTGGAAGTAAGGGTTAAGCTACACTTCATCCTTTGAATATTAATTGAAATATTCAATTTGAAGATTGATTGTTAAATATGAAATTTTATTGGTTGTTAACAAAAAAAGCAAGGAGCTGGGGTCAAATTTCTAATATTTTAATTTTTTCCAAGAGATCATTTCACAAGATAAAGCACATCAAAATACTAAAGTTAAAAATGRGAAAAGTTTTAGTCATGAAAAAGGGATATTAATTATTTTTGRTCAATGTTTGGTTTCTCACCTATCAGATGTACCAGTACCAAAGATGAGACCATCAGGATGGAACTGTGCACAAGTCAGACCTGAAACCACACCATGGCAAAGGGTTCAAAAACTAAAATCATTATACCTRATATATCTAAATTTAATACAAATTTTTATATTTTAAATATACAACAAAATGTTCAGATRAATTCAAAAAGAGGTTGCTAAATTTTTGGCAAGAATTATAATTTTYACCCCAATTAGACTCACTAACAAACAATTCCTACCTTGATTAACAGATGGATCAGACAGACATTTATTCAACACATGACCAGTACGAATATCAGAGAATGCCCAGTGCTGTAGATGTAAAATTAATTTATCAGAGCTTCACTTTTTGTGTTTGATTGTCAATAAAACAGTCTATTGTTCATTGACTTGGAATTGTAAGTTCAAAATAAACAGGAAAATAATAACATAAAGCAAACCTGATCTGCAGAACAACTCAACAAATAGTCGCCTACAAGAACAAAATATTTTTGAGTGGTAATTCKGACAAAATGTAAGTTAAATAGATGTACTTTTGCAATGCTTTTCTTTGTCATTTCAGTGCATCAAACATTATTACACTTTATTTTATGTATGCATAAACACCAATTTATTTGTGYAAATGTGAGCTCAAGTAAATAGATGATGTTATCCAGTGGTTTGAAACTTACCTGTTGCATGAAGACTAAGTCCAGTGACTCCTTCATCATGTGCCTAATATGAAGCAATAAAACAAGCTACATAACACAATTACAGAGTGAACAAAGCATATTACTTTTTTATCATTCATAAGAAATAACTATTGTTTTTACAATAATTCTGATTTCTTTGCAAAAGATGGGTATATTGCTTGGTACACCATATGAACTATCAGTAATATAAAATTGATGTTCAATTCCTACCTTGATGGTATGAGTACAGGTACCATTTAATAGTGACCACACCTTTATATTGCTATCAGCAGACCCTGTGATACCAATCTCCTAAAAACACAAATATAACAATGCCAATGAATAGGCAAATTACTTCTGAAAAGTACCTGAATAAAGTTTGAATAAATTTCAGCAATTACAACTACTTGGAGTTAATACTAGTTTAGCTGGTTTTGACAGTTTTAGTTGAAAAGGTAAAGTGATTGGTTGTTGTCAAGGTTTTTATCTTGCTACTTTTTGCAATGGATGTAAAACGCTTGTGTTGTAGTTTTTTTTAGTAATACTCTAATAATATGAAGCCAAATCCTTGACTGGAGGTACCTACCTCTGTAGGGTGATAAATAACATTTGTGACTTTCTTGGTATGCCCTTTAAGTGTTGCAACAACCTAAAAAAACACAGCAATGTTGGTTAATTTTAAAATAAGCATGTTGATTCACATATTTATTCTTAGAAATATCAAACAAAAGAGCACCAATCTTATGGTAGACTTGCCTGTTCAGTGTCTTTGTAGAAAACAATAGCATTCTTGTCCAGTCCACCTGAAAACAAACAAACTTGTTTAATCTCTTCATTACCAAGCATTAGCACCATTGGAAATAGGCTTTGTCAAACCTGTAAGAACTTTAGAAGTATCTGTAAGTTGAACATCGAGAGCCAAAATCCCTGGAGTACTTGCACTGTGAAGACCCTAAAAATCACAACAAATTCTCACTGAGACTAAAATCAAGCATTCATAACAATAGAAAGGTAAGAAAAATAATATCCTAAATTTACCAAATTCCACTATGCAATTTCAACTTTTTTCCTACTGAGTCTGACATTGCTACTTAAATTAAATCACATTCTTGACAATTTGGATGAATAATTCTAGATGTATCTGTGAGTCAATCTTGATTATTATAATTCATTATCAAATTCATTAATAATTCATAAGGTATTAAACACAATGGAAAATCATTGCTGTGACCGCATCTTTATATGAGCAAGAGATTTGTCCTGATTTGCATACGACTTTAACTTCAATTTTCTCTCTTACAAATGATATTTTATCCTGAAGTTTTTTTGCGAAATATGCTTTACCTTATGTTGGAATTTGATAAGCAATATAAAATATTTGCGTCCAACCTTTATGGGCTATAAAACTGCTCGCTTGCAGCTCACAGTTTTAAATGCCCATAAAGGTCTTCCGCTCATATTTTATATATTCAATAGAAGCCAATACATGTTATGCAAGGTCCATGATTATGGTTTGACATGCAAGGTCCATGATTATGGTTTGACATGCAAGGTCCATGATTATGGTTTGACATCTTGAACTTTGCATTTTGTGCATGTGAGTAAATGGAGTAAATAAAAAACATTATTTCATACTTGATTCAGTTTTCTTTGTTATTCATAGTGTTGTATCTCGCTTATTCCCCAGCTCGTTGTGTATTCAAGTGCTTTATATCGAAGTTTCAGGGATATATCTAGATATCGCCCCCATTTGAGGGCAATATCTATATATTGCCCTTGAATACTAATGTATATTGCCCTTGAATACCTAATTAACTACTACGTTCAACTTTCAATTTTCCGTCTGAAACTTTAAACTTGAAAGAAAGAAAGAAAAATTCAAATGACACCAAGTAGATTCGAACCCACAACCTTAGCTTTGAAAATCCTATACTTAACACATTATGCTAACTGACTAATCGATGTCAGTTATGGAATAAAACAGTTATTTAACATTGTCCAGTTACTTGTTACATGTACAAAAGGTATATTGTTAGCATTGGTCTCATGGGACTAACGAGAAAATTGGTTATGCAAATTATTCTTTCTAATCGAGGGTTTGATTTTTGATTCATATGAAAACGGCTTCTTTGCCTGTTTAAAAATGAAAATATTAATGCAGTGCTTGGAAAACTTCTTCAAGTATGAAATAAGACAGTTACATACCTCGAACGTCGGCAATCAGCCTATACATGTGTATTAGCCTATACATATGTATTAGGCTGATTGCCTCCGTTCTCGGTATGTAACTCTTACTTAGTAAATGGAAATAGCTTCCTTACTGGGTATGTTGCCACTTGGTGATAATTTCTAAGTTTTTCTGGTGCTGTAAGATCTTCTGGCATTCTCTTGCCTCTCTGTCAATAAAGTTGCATCAAGAACATAATAATTATTGCCAAAGTTTGTGTAAAATATTACTTCTTGCCTTTCAAAAGGCAAGTGAGCAAGCATTGGAACATTTATATCTTGACAGGCACTTGAAAATGTATTAGCATCACAAAGTTCCACAACATACCTTTTTACGTTCTGCTGTAAGAAGGGTAGCTTTCTTTTGCAACTAAATTGTAAAGACAAATTTTAGAATGTTAGTATTATGTTAAGGTGTAAGCTGTTCTTTATATACATTGGCAAAAAAAAGGTAATTGCCTACAAAAGGGTAATTAATACATCTTTAATCATTTGTAAATTCATTTACTTGTTCATTCCAATGTGAATTTTGTTTGTTAATTCAGTGATTCACTTACTTTCTGGAGGACCTCTTCACTCATACCAGTTTCTCCAGCAGGCTATCACAGAGTAATGAATCATCAGTTAAATACTGATTAGAATATTGATAAAAATATTTTTTTAACATTAATTACCACAGAAACTTCCATGTTTTCTTCCATCTGTAAATAAAGAAATTAAAATACTTGAGAATTGGTATTCAAAATCACAAACTTGTTGAGTTTTAACATGAAGATTCCATAAGAAATTATTTCCAAGATGACTTGGAAATATTCTTGCATCTTGATCATCTTTGCAAAATCATTTTTCCATGTTTTAACCTTAGTAAACACAGTTTTAAGAAGCTGAAAAACAACTTTGCATAGATGGAATACAAAATGATACAAAAAACTACCAACATGCTAAGTATAAAGTAATTTATATATCCATATTTTGATTGTGTTAACGTTATTACTTACAGGTATAGATGCTGGCGCAGCAGCTGATGCAGCAGGAACTGCAGCAATACCAGCTTGAGGTTTAAGAGTCGCCAAAGCTTAAAAACAAAACAASTATCCTATGYAGTTCATGCAATCACAATAATTGGAAAACAAATTCAAAGTMAAAGAATAAAAAACATTTATCATCATKTATCTGTTTTTGATAAAGTTTTTACCTTCACGTGCAGCTGTCACTTCTTTAGTTARCCTTGCAATGACACGACAAGCTGCATCATGTTGATACAAGGCATGGGAAAGTTCTATATAATACAGAAACTAGAGTTTTTATTTTAAATTAACAAAAGTCTAGTAGATGACRACTGGCAGATATAGGRTGGATGGACCATTGGATAGGATTAAATCAATCAAGGTTGAGTGGGATATTGRTACTTGTATTATGTCATTATACCTTGTCTTGCGGTTTGTAGTTGCTGTCTGAGAGTGAAAGAATGTAACATACATGCATCCTGAAACATTAAAYAAACATCTTGTACATCTTAATTGCTTCATATACAACTTATCATTTTCATGTTTCATTTTATCATTCAATATTCAAACTCTTTTCGTTAACAAGGAAAGTAGTAGTGGGTTTAAATCAATCAATCAAAGGTTTGGCTACATACCCATTCATCCTGAAGTCCCTTTAATATAGCAGGAATACTTGTTGCAGAAGGTGGTCTTGGCTTAACCAAAGGACTTGCTAAATAAAACAATAGAGATTTATCTATTATCATCAAAAATAATAGACATAGAATATAGGTAATTTAGTTTACCTTTTACTTCAATCAATTGTTCTTCAGACAACACATCACCAGTGATGGGATCTGTACCATTTTCAGCTATATACTTTTCAATAAGTCTCCTCTCAAAGACATGACCTGATGCTGGAGACACACAGGGGTGCTCTGGAATTTCATTGCTTACTGAAAGCAAAAATATACATGCAAAAATGTAAGAATTGTCCCTTATAGAATTTCACAAGTACAAACATGTCAGTTTAAAACAATGCTTTTCAACAGATCAGAAATGCAGAATAATTTTATGTTCTGATAGTTGGCTTTGCTATAAATCCTTGATTTACGCCGAAAAATACATAATCAAATGTTGGGCTGTAAAGGAACAGTTTGATTTAYAAATGGAAACCTTGCAGCATACARATGACATTTACAGCAAAAAGAATTGAAATGTCTTTGAGCCACAATTCTACATCATGAAATAACCAATTTCATGAATTTGGCTACAGTTTGTTATTTTCTAAAGAGTTTCTTGTTATAAACACTTCAAGTTATTAATTAATCAACATGTTTATACCTCGAAATGACAATCTAAACTCGTTTAAAAAACGGCTCTCACAACACTTAAGAAAAAGCGGGATCGCCACATCTTACAACAATATTAAAACTCAAACATAGTCTAGAATTATTTCTAAAGTTCTGCATGCAAAGTAAAGAGTGAAAATACAACAGGACGAAAATGCCGCCTTTCACACGTGCAAGTTTGGCACAAGCCAAACAAAGTTAACTTTTTTCCTCTGCATTTCAAATCAGATTTCAGACACAATTCAAACCTTAACACGTTCTCAAGGAAAAGATTTCAATTGAAATGCAAGTTATCAATTATTGCAGTGATTATTATGCCTGAATTAGACTTATACCCATAAATAACCAATCTATAACGAACTTCGTTACTCACTTGAACAGTACATCGCCATCTTGGATTCTTTACCGCATGTTAGGAATGAGGCATGATGGGAGTATATTCCAGACCCCCGCAGACCTCGCACGAAACAGGCGAACATGCGTGCACAAGAATCGATCTTATTTTACAAGTATTTATTTTTCATTTTTTCAATGATTTGTTTTTTTTTAAGCGAAAGAAAAATGGTTCTAAAGATTAGTTCRCAGGAACAAAATGCGGTAAAATCAAATAAGTTGGGTACATGCTGAACATTTATGTATTTCATAAACTAATCAGACCTAATCACACACTCGTGATTGTAGGAACTCAGAGAGCTCCATAGCCTTCCAATTGAAAATTTGCTGCAAATACATCAAGAATTRTATGTACTGATCATGTAGATGTAGAGCAAGAAAGCACACACACAAAAAAATCTGAAAAAAGAAGTGCCGGAAACTATTTGCATTGGCTTCAAATTCCTCCAATGGAAATGGCACAAAATTACCGCCAATTGTTGTCTGTCCAATCAGAGAAAAGTTTCAGTTTATATTTATACAAGGTAGCGCCATCTTGACAATGAAAGGTTTCCCTATCTTATCATCAATTTTTGAAATAGTTTGATTCTGTCATGCTAAGCTGGAGCTCGTGTACCTTTTATTCAACAACGGGACTGTATTTTAGTCCAGTCTGAGAAGTTCTCCCTGCAAGACATTGTTAAACATCAGTAAATCAAGGGAAATCAAAAGTGATCGATTTCAATTGAAGATCTGACGTTTGGTGGGCCCGTATTCTGTTTCTGTTTTCGAGGTTTTGTGTTTTGATATCTTACAGAGTCTTCAAGCCGAGGACACAATCGATCACATAAAGATGTTGGAAGGCAAGAAAGACTATAAAGTAAGTACATTTGAGTTCTCTTTAGCACTGCTTGCTCGATTGTTCAATAACCAGTGCCATCAGTTTAGTACATTTTCAACTATCTACAAGCAGACATCAATCAAAGACCATGTAGTAATCGAATCACGTGTGATGACTTCGATGGCAGCCAGTTTAGCTTTTTAAACATTCTAGAAAAAGAAATCAGACGGACAGCCATTAATAAAGCTGATAGATATTTCGCACATGCTTTGAATACCGGCTGGCCTTTTGAGTTCATCATGATCTGCTATATAAGTACATTCCATCGGCTCGTCATTTCGATGAAATATTAGCTAATCAAAGACGCTGTAGCAATACATAAGCGATACTGTGAGCGATAATCGAGGCTTCCACTTGTTTTCATAACAAGTTGTGAATTATAAATATATACAGGACTTTCAGTGCTGGCAAATGACTGTCCGCTTTAATGACTTGTATCGTCTTTACATGTCAATACTATTAATCCAAGATAAGTGATCGATGCATTAATAACGAGCAGGAAGCCTATTTGCCAACTTAACTTTGACAAAACTAAAAAAGCAATCATTCTAGTTAGTTTAGCAAAGCGACTCATGCTTTAGTATGTGGGTTGCCTGTGGCATTAAAAACACAGGAAGACCATGAGCTGAATTATCGCTGAAAAAAAATCGAAAAAAAAACCTTTCATAGAGTTTGGCCTGATATATGTCCAAGATCAGAGTTATTTAAGTCTCATAGTAAATGCCATGAACCGATATCGTCTCAGGGATCAGAGTGCATTCATTCTTGTAATTTTTCAGCCGGTACGTAGGATATACACCTTATTGCAAGAATGTTATCACATCSAGAGAGTATCGGTGAGAAAGGAATTTTATTACTGAAACAACAATGAGCCATTACAACACTTTTGAAAATATTGCTGTCAAATGAAGCGATCATAGCCCAAGTGTACGAAAATGAGTTCGTGAAAATAGATTGCCCCTGTTGCCAATTGTCTTATATTACAGTATTTTGCGATAAAGGCTAATACTCTAAAAGACGTACAATAAGCACAAACATGTGATCTTAAAATGCGTTAGATCGGAGTCATTTTGGAATCATTGCAGCCCGAAATCTCCAAGAGAAGGGTCGCCCGGGAATGTGACGTCCACGCACGAATAGTGACTTCCGGTGTTTATAAAACTTAAATGTACGTTATCATTGTACATCCATGTCATTTGATGATATCCATTGTTTGCTAATGTGATGYACAGTTAACGTAGATTTAAGAGGAATTTGTAGACGATTAATACCGTGGATATTATAGTTGGAACTTCTGGGTCTGGAAAGACTTGTGCCTGTCATACAATCCTGTTGTCAGCCGTCATTCACGCCTCTTGGGAATGTTCTAATATATATGCATTTATTTATTGGACGTTTATCATTTTGTTCTAAATTCTTTGAATCCTGTTCAAATTTGGTTGAGTCTGGACCATTGTAAAGGAATATTTGTGTATTTGGTCTACAAGTGATGAAATCTATGTGCAGACATTGAGATTTCAGCGGAGTTTTGCACATTGTTGCATAGCTGCCATTCCTATAGTAATGCTTCCAGCGGCGTCTTGACCAAGTTATATCGTCTCAGCATTGTGGATAGTAATTGCTTGAAAGCTAACAGCTTTTCTTTCTGATTTAAATCAACCTAAAGAAGTTTTCAAAAGCGGTGAAGCAGCTGTATAGTGGAGGATTTTAGCGATGAGATYGGCACGAACATTTTCTACTTGAAAATTGATATCAAGACTGAGGTAATTTGGCATCAAAGCAACAAGAAGGGCCTATAGTACTAATATATGGAAACGTAAGCAAAATATCAACAGACAGGACGGATTGGCTGCTAAAATAAAGGTAAGAAGTTTGCAGTTTTTTGTATTTCTAATATAATAGGCGAGATAAAAGCATTTAAGCTTTTAAACTTAGTCATAAACCATTGTTTAACTTATTTCGCGGCCTTTCAAGCCTTAGTCTTTTACTAAGCGTCATTGRAAGCTTACTTTTTGTTTTAGTGATATATTCTTTAACGTTTAATCACATCTTGATGGCATTGACTTGGTAAATTAACACTATAAAATACAATACTCATCGGTAAGAATATAYTGTACATTCACCGGACACTATAACATCACAGGGGTCAGAAACTCAAAACTCTCAACTCRAACTGGTGCTGTTTTGTACTTTGCCTTCATAAAYAACCGATTTTCGCCGAGACTGAGGTCTTTAATATACTGTATGTAGAATAATTAATCCAATATTAAAATATTCCTCCCTTATCCGCGACAAATGAATAAATTGAGGTTTGAATCCATTACATACAGATGTTATTTCAATGTCAGTTGTCCGTAGCCGATGACTTATATACTCGACTTGCGATCAGTTTCAAAACATCTTTTAAAATTCTTTACATATTAAATTCAGTATTCTCTTACATGCATAGGTTTTATGTTATGCTCTAAAGTATTTCTGTTAAGGAGATTATTATCTTGTTTTATAGAGCCTGACAGTCTTTCTTTACTGAAGTAGCTTGATCAACAACCATGAACTTTAGCCCGTTAACTGACAGTTCCTAATCATTTTTATACAAAATTTGACTATAACACTACAATTACACATAAAAAACACTTATTGATTTATTTATGTGGATATTAGAATTTCGTGGCTTTAATTGCTCGCTATGAATCTCATTCATAAAACACTTTGTCGTTGTTTACTTGAGTTGATATTGTAATGGGTAATTATCGATTCTTCTCTTCGTTCTCAAGCAATGAAGACAAGTCTTATCAGATAAAATACTAACAGTTCTAGCTGACTAATTATCAAAGATAATGAGTGATGACGATGAAGGAAAGTGCTTCATTTTGCCATTTCTGTTTCTCGGTTTTTAGACTAGCATTAAAATAGCTTTCTCACTAATTGACACTAGCATGGTTTTCCACGTTTGTGGTAACACTTCGGCTTCAAATTTTCAAAGTATCGAAAAACCTCTTTACTTAAGTTGTTTCTGAAACTTCCCGCTTCCAGCTATTTTATAGCATTGTTAGTTTATTAATGAAGAATTGTTRCCTTTTCTCGTGACACTGACCTAGCTTTTTTGCCTAATTGACACTAAAATGACTTATTATTCCCCTAACTGATCTTGATCTTTTTCTCCTGACTGATACTGACTTGGATTCCATCAACGACGCTTGAACTTATTTGATGATAAACTATCTTGTTTTYTTAATTTGATAAGGAAGTAATCTCTGGTTACTGTCCAAAATTGACTTCTTTCCTTTTAATGTTATTTAGAAACTACTTGGAATCTACTGTCAGGCGTCAAAATGTTTTCCAAGACAACCACTTCACATTACGAAAAAGGTAAGCAGCTAGGGCGTTATTTTGTGGTGAAACTTACATGTTAAACTTTCCTTGATTGCCGTTGTAAGAGGCGTTGTTGCATTGAGTGGCAATACGCAATCCTGAGCTGGATTTGTCTAAGAAAGAGTTGTACGAACCCTACATACTGAAACCAGTCCGCTAAACCAGTATCATGTCTGGAAACTAACTCGGCTGGAAGCAGCTCTACTTGTCGTGAAACTGTGATGATCCTGCACTGAATACATGTGCGCACTGTTTTCATGTGATCTTCTTTTTTGTCTTAGGAAACCAGAAGCCATCAATGATCAAAAAGAAAGCAAGGACGACTATTCTTAACGTCCTCAATAAACGTCAGACTCAGGAAAAAAGTCTGGCACAGGCTGAAAGAAGAAGTTTTTCTGATCAAACATCACAGCTTCAATCAACTCGTCGAACAGATCAAGAATCACCAAACGCATTTCCCCAAACTGCTAGTCCTTCTCACCGAGAAAGTGTCCCCGAAAAGACTATGAGAACCTCTGAGGTAACGAACGATGCCGGTAGATACCCGAATCGGGGACGCGGACCAGATCGTCAGAATTCTGTGTCGAGTTTGGTAAGAAAATGGTCCGCTGACAACTTGTCACCGTCAGCCACTAAACCAAAAGCTGCTAGTTTCACTAGTGCAAGTTTAGCAAAACCCGTTCCAAAAAGTGTTACCGTTCAACAAAGTTGTGTGACGTCCAGTTTTCCCCCAAGTAAAAAACACGATGACGACGAAAACCGCTATTCTGTAGTCATACAAACTAGCGCAAATTACCCTCCCCCTCTCAGACGTAAATCGTCAGCAGACGTCACTCCTCATGACGTAACAGTTAATGCAATTCGTGTATATGAGGCTACAACGAAAATGGTCAACGCAGACCCAGAACTCATTGCGAGCCTGGACAGGTATCCGAGCAGGGAACCTCCAGTTATGTCTCCAACCACAGTACAAAGGTTTACGTGGGAAAGAGATATGAATACTGGTGTTGAACAGAAGACAAGAGCAGTTGTCGTTAAAGGGAAACCTTTGGTACAGGCTTCACAAGCGAGTACAAACACTGATTCCGAAATGAGACCGAGGCTAGTATCGGATTCCGTACAAGTATCGATTCCATTCGGAGTACCCGATACCCCAACTTCAGATCGATCTTCTGGATCGGATGGATGGTCGTCTTCCGTTTCAGTTTGTGTTCCGTTTCAAATTACTGACAATCAAGTAAAGCCACTGCCTGTGAGGGGAGGTGCAAGACCCCAGTCCCTTCCTTCCTCTGACGGTCTCGCAATTGAAGATCTGAATGAACTATTCGACCGTAGTGATGAACCAGGACCAGGCTCTCTAGGATATATAACCAATACAGTGACTCACACGATGGATCCTGATAGTTCAGCCATGGATATCCCGTCTTCACGCAATACATCTAGMAGTCCTACACTCGTGACTGTACGGAGGAAACCCGACGACGAATTGGTACAAAAAATCATTCATTTTCAAGACTCGACAGTTTGTAACGAGACCCCAGATGACGTGTTTGATAGACAGGATGGTCTTAGTTTGTCAAAACGCGGTCATTACTCACTAGCCGATTACAACTCTACTGTACATACAGGTAACGACAAGTCGGCGTGTCCTGGGTTAGGTTGATTATTAATCACATGGCAGTTGTCTGTTTTTACTGTAAATTCGTTTGTTTTTCATACAATTCGTGGTGATACTTTTACAAAAGTTAACGTTACTCAACTTGCTTCTCCTCGAGCGTTGTTTTTGTTTTACAGTGGCGATAAAAGGTCACTTGTTGATGTTGTCAACAACCATGCATATTGTATGAATCATCAGAAATGATCGATTCATGTCATGTGTTCATTTTAGGAAAAATATTGCTCTCTTTGAACTAAGAGAGAATTTAGCTCGGAATTATGAATACTGAATCAACGACGTCACTTTCAAAGCATTTGTCGGAAGCAGTGTTCAGATTAGCACCAATTAAACTGAACAAAAGAATTCCATCTCATAGGAACTAGTTAAGTTAATGAAAAAAATTTAGTATCTTAAAAAAGAGCAGTGTTGGCGGACGAAGTACAACACTTAACTAGTTGAGCAATTGAAATATCGGCTGATATTTACCAATATGGCAAAATTGCGACGAGCTGTTATCGTTTATTTTTAAGTTGATTGATGAAAGCGGTCACTGGCTTGGTTTGCAAGGATATTGACTTTGATCTTAGGATTATAATAATAAAAAGATAGTTTTGACTATCTTTTGGGCCGATAACATTTTGGTTGACGAGTGTTTATGCAGCATTTATGCCTGGTTGAGTCTTCTTGAGTACACTCAGTACAGAATTTTCAAAGATAATGACGTATAGCATGTGTATTTTGTCGATGGAGGTTAAGCTATAGTTATAAAATAATCCTTTGTAACATGACGTTTGTTCGCACTCGACTCGAATCATTGCCAAAACAAAAATAGAAAAGTTGATAGATGACCTGGAAACCTGTCAAAAATGTGCTTTCAGATTGAAGTAGTTGTCATTATACTATGGTTAAATGATGGTTAATTTTTTTCTTTTTGTGAAGTGATATTTGATACCAATGTGTGTACATCTGGTTTGTTGAGATACCAGCATGATACATATTTCTACGTTTCATGTTTTCATGAATTTTAACACAACGCCACTTAAAACGTACTCGGGTGAAACGACTCCAAATTAGGATTCAGCCGTTTGCAGCTCACGATATCCTAACTAGACGGTGAACGTCAATGAGATTAACAACAAGCTGAGAATTGAAATTCTTGTCGGAAAAAWGACACAAAGCAATGAAAAGATATTTCAGCAGCAACTCTTCGAGATACGAAGTTAAACAAAGGAACATGAGCTCAACAAGAAGTCCGTTGATTTCACGGAAGACAGGTAGAAATCTGTGCTTCTTATCATGAACTATTCTTCAATCAGTAGCTAATAGTGGGCGATGATCTCGTGATGTTTAGAACTTTACTTTTGTTAAGAACCTCTACTTTCTTTTGTTTTGAATTGAACATGCTGTTCATAGTATCTTAGCAGTATATAGCTTGCAGCCCCTCCAAGGCTGCTAAGAATCTTTAAACGTTGTTCAATATCATTATGAAATTACTTATCGACCGTCAACTATCAGTTGAGCTTCACTTTGTGTGATTTAGAATGTTTCAATTTAATTTATGGCTATGGTCAATGATGCGATCATGACGCGCGCCATCTTAAATGCCTGCTGACGCTCTTTATATTGTTCATAGTAGTCAAAATGAAGTCAGCTAGTACATTCACAATTCATGCATTACAAAGAGACGCAATAGAAATAATTCTTAATTTAAKCATTTTGCCCCCATGATGCGGATTCCGGAGCGTTCCCCGGATTTCGGATTTCAAGCTCCTGGATCCGGATTCCATAAACTATATCTTTCGTAAAAGAGCCGTGTGAATTTGTAGCTGACGCAGTTGGACAGTGCTCAATACGCATTAGTGCAGAGCAAAACATACAATTATTTATTATTATTATTATTATTACAAGGAAACATGCATGATTCTCTGAATCAGGCGTTATACAAGCATTTCCTTGTATTTTATTGCCCATTGACCAGATAATTACTGCGCATGAGTCGAGGGTATGTTGTATCGAATAAAAAACGTTTGAAGTCACTAATTTAGAAATCTCTTTCCACTTTTGCGTCATGATTCCAGGTCAGTCTGGATTCCGAATTCCAGAGTCAAAATGTTCAGTACACATATAGATTCACTATTCTTTATTAAGCGAACAAAGGCATTAATGTCAAAGTATGATGATATAATCGTCGACTAATCTTTATTCTACGTGGTTTATATGGTTTGTTTTGCCTTTCAGAAGCCAAAAAGAATTCACCCTCATTGACTCGCATTCAACAACAACCAGAATCAACAACTGGTTCAGAGAAGATACGACCAAGAGCAACGCTAGTAAATAGTCAAACCCCTCGCAGGTATTGTTATACCGTTTATTTTACTTTTCTGATAATTGGAGCATTTTTATACTCGTTACCCGACTCTTTTTGAATTTCACAAAGGCCAATACATCTTTATAATGTAACATAGTTTGTATGGGAGTGGTTTTCGTAGTACTTTGTATCAAAYWTTATTACTCTTTGTTTCACGAATTGCCTTTTCTTTTCATTCAGCGTCACCAAAGACAAGACAGCAAGCCTACCGGCTGCTTCAAGTACGTAATATTTTGCCCTTTTCAATTCCGTCTTTTATTTTGTTTGATACTAAATTGTATTTTTCTGTCCAGAAAAAGACGAACTGGATATGCTAAGGGCTCGGATAAAACAGCTGGAAGCCGAACTTGAACTTGAGAAAGCAAGACATGCACCAAACGATGCAATTCTTTCATCGATCCCGATATTAGAAAAAGAAAAACTGAGATTGCAATCACAAGTTAATGAAGCTCTTCAAGATTTAACAAAAGCTAAATCGCAGTTACGAACTGCTACATACACAACAAATCGGCTGGAAGCTGAGAAAGATGTCTTAGAGACGAAATACAGAAAACTTGAAAAAGATTTTGAAAAGTTGCAAAATCAAAATGTTGAACTTCAGTTTGAACGCGATCAATTATTGCGTGAAAAGAAGAACAGGACGAACGAGGACATGGACATTGATGCAAATCTTGTGACAATTCAATCACTTTCACAGAGAAACGAAGAACTTATTCATTCACAATCTGAATTGAAAGAGCGAGTATGTGTCTTAGTTAAAGGACTTCGAGATGTCAAGAAGTCTGTTGAAAAAGTCAAAGAGGAAAACAATCTTCTTCATGAAGAAATTGTTGACAATGGTGTGGCAATGGCGGAATCCATGAAAAAGTGTTTACTCGGGCTACAGCAAGTAGTTGAGCAATTTAATAATCAGTCAAATAATATGATAGATAATGATGAAATTAAACGTTTRACTGAAGAATTAGCCGACAGTAAGTCGTGTTGCAGTGTGTTGTTACAGCGTGTTGTCGAACTTGAAACTAACACAGACGACAACTCTCCGAAGAATCACGACGGATGCCCGAATTGTGCAAAACTTGAGGAAGAGATCAAAGAACTTCATATGGATTACGATGAACTTAAGGAAAAACATGAAAACCTCCAGGAAAAGATGGAAGAAGTAAGTAATGACCGAGAAGACCTGTTCCAAGAAACAAAGTATTTGAAAAAGGTATTGTCGTATCGTCAAGACATCATGGAAGTTCAGGTCTCAGAAAAAACAAATCGTCAGCTACAACGATTAGAGACAAATTTAGAAGAAGCAGAAAAGAAATGCAAAGGTCTTGAAGACGAAGTCGGTTTACTGTACAAACAGAAACAAACACTTCTCGAGAACATCATGAAGCTTCATGACGAAGAAGTTGCACAACAAAACGCTGGCGGCGATGATGATGAAGATGATGAGCTAAGTGATGACGATGAAGACGACTATTCTAGCGATGAGCAGACRACAACAACCCCCTCTCCATCCCGATCAAAGACTGGCTCAATGAAAAAGTCGTTGTATGCAAATATATCGAACGAGGCAGAATTCAGTTCTGGTGCAAGTTTTTACGGAAGTGATACGGAGAGCGATAGTGATAGCGACCAGTGGAGTGAACTGGAAGGATCGTCAACAAGATTACAAGACTTAGTTTCAGGACTCAAATCAGACAGAAAACGTTTACGATCAAATCTCAAAGAACTCATGCAAGACAAAAGAAGTCTAAACAAAAGAATCGATAAATCGACTCAAGATTTTAAATCATTAATGAAACGCATGGAAAAACTCGACTCGGAAAATACTTCACTCCGAGAAAAAGTGAAAACCGAGAGGCGCGCTTTGAAATCTAAACTGAAAAAAGAGGAAAAAGAGAGCGAAAGATTGCGAGAAAATTTAAAAGACATGGAGAGTGAAAAGGCTGCGTTAATGAAATGTATTGAAATGAACAGTGCTGCCGCAAACGAAGTTGAAACCAACGAACCGGCRGAAGATCTRGAAGACGATGACATATCAAGACTCATTGCCAAGGCGCAAGCTTTCGCACAAGAAGAAAAAGAAACTAAACTGCARGGTACGATAGAYGAAGAATCACAAGAAGAGGCAGAGAGTGCAGATGAAAAGGATAACGGRGCGGAAGAAAGTGGCGAAAACGAGGAGGCTGAAAGCGAAGAAAAGACCTCCTCTAGCAGCGAAGAAGAGAAAGAAGAAGAGAAAAAAGAAGTTGAGAAAGAAGATGAACCATACAAAAGCAGAGGTTTGTATTCAAATTCATTGAAAATATCGCATTTTAAAGGTGTTGGATATGTAAACGTACGTAGTATTTATGATAAAATAATCTGTTGTTTTGTTTTTACAGAAAGGGCAATTCCTCCTCCACTTTTTCAAAAAGACATTAGATCAGAGAGTGAGGACGAGAAGGACGCCGATAAAGAAGAAGAGGAACGTGAGAGATACGAAATGGAGGACATTATGAGCCCACCACCACCTCCACCACATGCGCGCTTACTGCAACGTCGCGCGTCCACCGTAGGGATTAACATGGATCGTGTGAACCGCGAGAAACAGCATTTAGAAGAAGAGGTTGCAAGTCTGAAGAAATATTTGAACCGAAGTGCTTATAGACGGAGATATTCAACTGTAGAGACCCCCAAGGCCCCGCCACTTGGAGCGATGAAGACCTTGGAATCACTTTTACAGAAATCTGACATGGAGCTTAAAGAAGCCAATGCGAAAATCTGTCATCTTCAATCAATGAATGCAGACCTCGAGGAACGACTGAAGGACGCTGAAATGAACCAAGACGATCTTCGCCGTGCTGTCGTTATCGCAAACAACTATGCTGCTGAAGAACGAGAGAAAAATACAGCATTAGAAGAAGAAAGAGATAGTTTRATGCAGAAACTGGAAACACTTAAACGAGAAAACAGTCGATTGAGAAAGTCCAGGGCGATCAACGCTGTTTATCGTAAAGGTGCACGTGGCGTGAAGTCACTTGATGGCGACATGGTGGACAGTGACGGTCCTGATGGTGAATCAGACCTTTCGTCGGTGTCACGCAGATCCAGTAACGCAAGTGACTTGTGACACCAAGAAAAATATAGCCTTCAAACACATAAAACATTRGACTTGAATGGACGACATTGAATATTTTATGAAAAAGGTCACACTACTCTATTACTGGATAAAGATTATAACATGTCATTTTTAGGGTTTTAACAAATGATTTTGAGGCAGCCATTATCAATGAGCAATACATTTAGCTAGCTAGTTTGTTATAAGTGTAGTTTTATAATAGTTGTGACCTTGACCTCTGTCGCAGCATCAACAGGACTATTCAGATGGTACAAATCAGTCAAAATAATATTTTTATGATATCTAATCAACATTTTAAGTACAAATTTGTGATAATTATTACAGCAATATTGTAAAGTTTTAAAGTTATACTGTTTTCATCTACCATATTGAATAATAAATATTTTTGTAAGATGGTTTTCTTTTGGTAAAGSATATTGCCGTAAATTGACCACCTTTACCCTGACCCAATTGGATTAGCCTGTGTGTCGAATATCACCCAAACACTGATGGCTAACCTTTACCCTGACCCAATTGGATTAGCCTGTGTGTCCAATATCACCCATACACTGATGGCTAACCTTTACCCTGACCCAATTGGATTAGCCTGTGTGTCCAATATCACCCATACACTGATACACATACACAACCAATTCAGGACATTATTATAAAATGTAATGTCAAATCCTCGAGTTATAACATTGTTTATTTTTTTCTTTAACACAATTTCATTCTAGACAAATTGTTGCAATGATAACATAGTTTTAGTTGAATTCACTTACAAATACTATATTGCATATAGGAAAGTAAAATACTTTATCAAAATACCTACAGTGTTGTGACAGTCCAATACATTTTATGCTGTGTAATATTACGCTATTCAAAGGTTCACAAGATTTATCCTGAAGTGTCCCATAATGCATCATTTCACTGTTACTTCAGATAAACATGCCAGTCTTATGCTTGCTTCCTATAGTGTAATGTTTGSATTATTAGATAGAACCAAATAACTCTTACTACTACAAAATTCATGACTATTTTGTGTGCAAATAAACAATGTTGTGTTGAATTTAAAGAAGTGATTCTCACTTGAYATGCGATAGGTTATAATGAAGAAATCAAGCTGTTATATAATTGAAATGGTCACCTTGGCTAACCATAAAAAAATATTTCAATCAACCACTAATGTGTTCTTTTATGATAAGACATGCAAAAAGTTTTCATTTTGGTGATACAGCAACATGAAAAACTTTACACAGGAAACCCAACATACTACAGAAGGGAGAGCATTGTTATGTCAGTAAATAATATRGACTGCCCGCTTTACTTACCCATGCATTTAAGAGTGATGTAACAGAATAAAAGCCTGGCATCCTACGTAATTCAGATAGCAACTGACTCTGTATCTTGAGAAGGAATGGCGTTGTTTCTAATGAGATTCAGTATAATTATTAATATTATCACTAGAAGGGCTGATGATTTTTATCATTCTCATATTATGTRCACTTGGAAGTACAAACAAATTTGCTTTTCATAATAATTACTTTATGTAGTTTTTCATTTTTCCAACAACAAAATGTTTGAAGAATAAATAAGAGGACTTGCTATAATGTGTTCATTATTATACAGAGAATTATAAAAAGTGATGCTTCTATTGCTACTATACAATAAGCAATGACCACATTGCCCTTACCATAAGCCTTTGTCTTACAAGCAGGGCTTGAATGAGGATAATTCTGGGGTACAGTGACCTCAATTGGAGGAACAGCAGGCAGAAGGGCATCCTCTAAACAAACAACAATGCTTCATTGACATTWTGTTTTACTTTTGTAAAATGGAAATTGCAAAAGAGCAATGAATTATTGTCAGTAGCAATGTCTACTCATGCTCCTTTTYCCCATGATTTTTGTAAGTTTGCRTTGAMGTTTGGAATGATATGAAATTTCAAAGACATCAAAATYYTTTYMA